GCTGCGGACGGAGACGATGTATTTGTGTTCGTGGGTGGACCGCAGGTTGACAGGGATGGTGATGACAGGGAAAGGCTTGTACGTGTCCCATGATGCTTGTTGGCGGCAGCACAAGCACCGGGTTGAGACGTCTTCTTAAACTTTGTCCCCGCCCGAAGGGCTCTAAATAAATCCTCCATCAAACAAAGCTCTATGAGAGTTGTATCAAAGTATTAGGTGAGATGAGGCAAAGGTACCACCATGCCACATTGATTATCGATCCCGATGGAACATAGCAGCCAGGATACTACAATATGATCAAGTAAGTCTCTCTGATAAGTGCTACAGCGGACACAACAGAGGCCTCTGGGCCTGTGGATAACCGATAAACAAGCGAGACATCAAGGCACAATGCCGGATGGTGACTTTTTGGATCAGTGAACATTCCAATTGCGTGCAAATCGGCTTGTCGTGACCTTTGCCGGAACTTCAGTGGCCTCCACCCACTCCGCTGCATTTCTGAAGCTTGTCAACCTAATTTTCATGGGAAGTTGCGGTATTTGCATCCATGGACACCCGCCACGACCAAATAGTGTCAGGTGGACCATCTTGCCCCTTCAGTCACACCGGGGTGTGGTTTAGGATGGTGTAACCATTATATTGTCACGAGAGACACACGTCTCCGGAGGCAGGCGTCGCCGCTTCGCCGTATTTAACAGAGCAGACTTGTACACTCACGCCTTCAAGCACACTGCGAACTTGCAAGGAAACAAGCTTTGTCCGGGGCGTCCACCATCTCTGTACTCATCTTTTTCTCCCTACGCTCCCAGTACACTCGTTCACAGGCTTACGAAGTGAGGGAAACGAAATCAAAAATTGAGGCTTTAAATTATTCTGCCACACCAGCATCACCCCAAGGGCACCTCTCCCTTGCCCCTCTGGGGACCCTCTGAAAGAACCAATTTAGCTTCTGCTATTGACTTTGGCGTAAAATATACCATACCGACGCGGCTCTTCAGGCACGCGGACGTTTGACCAGGCCTGGCGGGTGCAATACACTCTTTAGGCACGCGGTTGCCGCCCGTTGCGCAGCGGCAACACAGACGATGTTGCAATTTTGCTCGGCGCGGCCTGACTCGGCCAGGACAGTTTCCATGGTCCGAGCGATGGGGACAAGCACCATACGGTCAAGGCTTGCGACCAGAAGAGGCACCTTTAACTCACCTCTGGCCGCATCAAGCGGCATGAGGAACACCTCAGACCCTGCCCGCCGAACCCGATTCTTCAGCAACGAGAGCAGAGTCCTTGGACGCCGAGGCCTTTACAGTGTCCAAGACAAGAAGGGCAGCATCCTGTCCCCAGGAAGAATAAGACGTCGAGCGTGGCAATTACCTGCAGCTCACGTTACCCCGGCCAGCGCCTCCAGCTCTGCGTGCTTTCTCTTATCCGAAACCCTCCCTCCGTCCATCCTCGCCACTCTCTCCCCCTCCTCCTCCTCCTCCTCCTCCTCCTCCTCCTCCTCCTCCTGGGCCACGCCTTCCTTCTCCAGCCTGGCGGTCCTCCTCCTGGGGCTAGGCTGGACGGGGTACCTGCTGCAAGCTCCCCCCGGGGAATGCCGGGCCCTCCGGAACATCCACGAGTTCTACAAGATCGTCGAGAAGCCCATTGGCGCCGGTGGCTTTGGGGTCGTGTGCGTGGGCTCGCACCGGGAGACGGGGGAGGTGGTGGCGATTAAGCAGCTGCCCAAGAAGGCGATCCGGGAGCTTAAGGTGATGACGGAGGTGGACATCCTCCGGCTGGCGGGTGAGCACCGGAACATCATCGGCTTCCGAGACCTCTTCCAGGATGAGGAGAACTGGTACATCGTGATGGAGATGGCGGAGGGGGGCGAGCTTTTCGACCGGCTGGTGGAACGGGGCGCCTACTCGGAGGCCCAGGCAAGTGAGATCATGCGGGAGATCGTCGACGCGGTCTCCTACCTGCACCAGCAGGGCATCGTCCACTGCGACTTGAAGCCCGAGAACCTCTTGCTCGCCACCAAGGCCAGCGACACCAGCAACATGCGCCTGGTTGACTTTGGCTCCGCGTTTCGGGCGGACTCGGGGAAACTCGTGTCCAAAAAAGGCACAGGGACCATCGCCTACTCCGCGCCCGAGGTCATCTCGGGGCGCCCCTGCGGCTACAAAGCGGACGTGTGGGCCCTTGGTGTCTTGATGTACATCCTCCTCTCCGGTACGTCCCCCTCCCTCCCTTCCTTCCTCCCTCCCTTCCTCCCTCTTGCCTCCGGTCCCTTTCCAAGGGCGCGCGGGTGTCCCGCATAAAGCCTCCCCGCCTGCGCGAGGCTCACGTATCCAATCCTGCTTTTTGCATCGCTCCACCCCTAACGAGGGGGGAAGATCGTAATTGACCACCACGTTCACCGCCCGAAGGTCCAGGCCCCGTGCGCACAGGTCCGTGCACAGCAAGACCCACACGGCCCCCGCCCTGACCTTCTCCAAGAGCGCTGCCCGTTGCTCCGTGCTTCTGTCCGCATGCATGACGTCCACGCGGAGGTGGTCGTAGCAGAGTTCGTGGTAGAGCTCCCGGGCCCGCTCCTTGTTCTCCAAGAAGACCAAGATAGGAGGAAGGACTCCCTGCTTCAACAGCTGTCGGAGGGCCAAGAGCTTCCCCTCCTCCCGCCCCACAAACACCAATTCTTGCGTCACGGATTCGGGGACGGCGGCCGCGTGCGTGTAGTTGGAACGGTTGGAAGGCAGGCCTACCGACACGGAGACGGGGTCTCGCAGCACACTGCCCGCCAAGTCCTGGATCAGCGGGGGGAGCGTAGCGGAGAAGAGGGCGCGCTGTACCTCCGGGTATGTACAGGCGGCCAAGATCTCGTCCACCTGCCCGAGGAAACTTTTGTCGGGTTCCAAGGATTCGCCCGCCGCGTTTTTCTTCCCTTCTCGCCCCAGTTCGAACAGCTTGTCCGCTTCGTCCAAAACGACAGCCCGGACCCGCCTCAAGTCCACCCTTCCCTCCCGCAGGGCCTGGAGCAGACGCATCGGCGTCGCGACCAGGAGATCATACCCGGAGAATACCCCTTGACCTGCCTCATCCTTGGTCGCCGCCAGCGCCTTGGACACCACCGCGACTTTGAAGGCTCTTCCAGCCGCCAACCGCTGCACTTCCCCACAAATTTGCGAGGCGAGTTCCCGGGTGGGGGCCAGGAGGAGGGCCCGTGGGCCGTTTCGCAGGAGCCTGGCCTCGGCCTTTTCGAGACGTAGGAGGGTGGGGAGGACGAAGGCGGCGGTTTTCCCCGACCCCGTAGGAGCGGTGGCCAGGAGGTCGCGGCCCATGGCCAGGACGGGCAGTGCTTGCATCTGTATGGGCGTGGGCTCTTTCCACTGGGAGGACTCGATGTTCCTCAGCAACGTCCGCTTGAGAGAGGCGTCGGGGCAAGGGAGGAGGGAGAAGGAAGGGAGGCAGTCCGGCACGTTCTCACCCCGGGCTTTGATCCGCAACCGTCGACGGAAGGCCCGCATCTCGTCCTCCTCGTGCTGGCGCCGAGGCCGATTTACGACCAGGGAGGGGGCGGAACCGGAAATGGTCACGGAGGAGGAGGAGGTGGAGGAGGAGGTAGAGGAGGAGGAGGCATCACTATCCTCGCCTGTGTCCTCCTTCCATTGTACGTCCTTGTTCTTCTTGCGGAAAAGGGAGGGAGCCTGTGACGTGGCGCCCGGGTCGTCTGGACAAGGCCTCCCTTCTTGCTTATCCCTCTTCCCCCGCCCAGTCCCCATCCCAGCATCCTTGTCGCGTGCACACCCGTGCCCTCCATCCACATGCCCTTTCTTTGAACCGTGCAGGCGGGGCTCGTCGTCAGTCGCTTCCTTCTCCTCGCCTCTACCCTCCTCTTTCTTCCTACCTTTTCCCCCATCCTCCCGCCCCCGAGGGCGGAGGGGAGGGAGAGGGGGAGGCCGGGCAGGCACA